TGTATATATATTATGTGATAATGTAAAACTTCCTTCAGTTATCCCACCAATGATATGAGGCAGTCATCCATCCTGTTAGGCCTCTACTTTGAGCAATTGAAACTTAATATTTGTATGTTTAATGTGGACAAAAATACATAATATAAATCTGTATGACTGTATGGGTATGAATATATAATAACTATTCTCTGCTTTGAGACATAGTTTTATCGTTATTTGTCTGGGGACTATATATGGAGAGTTTCATTATCTTTGTACATAAGCTAAAGTCAACAAGTTTGTGTTTATAGCATACTTTATTTGCCTGGTTATTTATGATTTGTTTATATTTTATATATATTCTATATTTATTCCCCGATCAATGTTGCTTATGTTTGGGGGGTGAAGGATTTTGCCGTAGATAAATGATAGAATTTAATCCGATTAAATTACCTTCGAGGTGTTTCATGTATCTGGTGTAAATCTGCTGACCGGACGTTTTATGACCTTTTAATTTAAGACATAGATGACTGAGAGAATCATTTTTATTTTAGGCGAGGTGTTTTATTCCAATGGTTGAATAAGTTATAGACAGTCAACAATGTGTGGTCTCATTTCGAATATTCTGAGTCCAGTAATAATGACTCACCAATTATGTCCCATCAGTCCATGTATATATGTGCAGTCTGACTTAAAATCTAAGCTAAAATATCTTCTCAATTTTATTACTTAGATACAACAATCATTCAAACTGTCCATACATTTAATATTTTCCTGCCCACATAGTTAGAGCGCTGCACATGTAATCTCGATATTGTAATCCCTGGGCTGGCCAATTAAAATTGCTAAATAGTCTTTCAGATGAGATTTTAAAGCAGGGTGTTTAAGTGCCTAAAACACTTGGCACGCTAAAGTACCTGGAGAAGCTTCTGGCATTGGGGCATCTTTCTGTACCAATATCTTGCACTATCCTCCAAAATCTAAAATTACTAATAAATTTCTGGAAGACTTGCTCTTACCCTTGCCCATATGTGCAACCAGTGGCGAGTATACACAAATATATATTAATCCCATAGGCATTTTTTCCCATAGGCATTTTTTCAGTGGAAAATTATCTGACCCATTGCCAAAACGTGCTTTTTCCTGAATCTTTAAAAGAAATTCCCAATTTAAAGAAAAATATTTACAAATTAAACTTGCATTCATTCTGATAAATAAATTTGTTGATAGATTCCTCCAAAATTGATAAAGAGCTGTTCATTTTCCCCAAATACACAACTTTACAATGCAAAATTTCCTAAATTGGGTGAAGTATTTTTCCTAAAATGGCAAGGAAAAGACCTAAGTGGTTCCAAATTCAAAACATGCCAAATGTTTAAATGCATAAATTCAGTCGTGAAAATGGAAAAGAATTCATATCATTACTTTAATGAATTTTCAAGTTTAAATACTTTTAACTTAAAGGCTAGTACACATTGCATTTAGTGAGCTTAAGGTAAAAGACTGTAAAGAGACACAGAAAAGTCACATCCTGTAGCATTTTCTAACATCCTGTTGCAAAATAACTTTTATGTGTGTAAGTAAAAAAAAAAGTAAAAAAAGTTAGAAATTTGTTGCAGTTGTACTGTTGTTGTTGTTGCTGTGTTGTACTGTTGTTGATGTTGTTTTTGTATAAGAAGCAAGCTTGATAATGACTGGAGGTGTCAGCTTGTAACATGATTTAAATTAAACTTCTTTAAATGAACATGTCACAATGTCACCTTTAGACAACTGTAGGCTGTATTCTCATTCAATATTTGGTTTGTAAATTGAACATCAGTGTAGTTTTTCCACATGATTTGATTACTTGTCAGGGTTTTTCTTGTTCTCTCAAATATATGTTCCAGACTTAATTTGATAAAGTATATTGTATATGGATCCATGTTTAATTGGAAGAAAATTATACAACTTTTCCTGATGAAGACCAAGATGTAAAAAATCTGTCATTTAAAAAACATCAAGATTAATTCTCCTTTAGATGATTGTTTTTTACATTTTTTAGCTCGACTATTCGCAGAATAATCGAGCTAATGCAGTCACCCATTTGTCGGCGTCGGCGTCGGCGTCCCTGTGGTTAAGTTTTTGTATGTAAGCTGGTATCTCCATAACTACTGAAGGGAATGGATTGAAACTTCACACACTTGTTCTCTGTGATTATCTAAGATGATTGGCACAAGTCCCATAACTCTGATTTGCATTTTTACATAATTATGCCCCTTTTTCGACTTAGAAATTCTTGGTTAAGTTTTTGTATGTAAGCTGGTATCTCCATAACTACTGAAGGGAATGGATTGAAACTTCACACACTTGTTCTCTATGATTATCTAAGATGATTGGCACAAGTCCCATAACTCTGAATTGCTTTTTTACATAATTATGCCCCTTTTTCGACTTAGAAATTCTTGGTTAAGTTTTTGTATGTAAGCTGGTATCTCCATAACTACTGAAGGGAATGGATTGAAACTTCACACACTTGTTCTCTGTGATTATCTTAGATGATTGGCACAAGTCCCATAACTCTGATTTGCTTTTTTACATAATTATGCCCCTTTTTCGACTTAGAAATTCTTGGTTAAGTTTTTGTATGTAAGCTGGTATCTCCATAACTACTGAAGGGAATGGATTGAAACTTCACACACTTGTTCTCTATGATTATCTAAGATGATTGGCACAAGTCCCATAACTCTGATTTGCTTTTTTATATAATTATGCCCCTTTTTTACTTAGAAATTCTTGGTTAAGTTTTTGTATGTAAGCTGGTATCTCCATAACTACTGAAGGGAATGGATTGAAACTTCACACACTTGTTCTCTGTGATTATCTAAGATGATTGGCACAAGTCCCATAACTCTGATTTGCTTTTTTACATAATTATGCCCCTTTTTCGACTTAGAAATTCTTGGTTAAGTTTTTGCGTGTAAGCTGGTATCTCCATAACTACTGAAGGGAATGGATTGAAACTTCACACACTAGTTCTCTGTGATTATCTAAGATGATTGGCACAAGTCCCATAACTCTGATTTGCTTTTTTACATAATTATGCCCCTTTTTTGACTTAGAAATTCTTGGTTAAGTTTTTGCGTGTAAGCTGGTATCTCCATAACTACTGAAGGGAATGGATTGAAACTTCACACACTTGTTGAGTTCTCTGTGATTATCTAAGATAATTGGCACAAGTCCAATAACTCTTATTTGCTTTTTTACATAATTATGCCCCTTTTTCGACTTAGAAATTCTTGGTTAAGTTTTTGTATGTAAGCTGGTATCTCCATAACTACTGAAGGGAATGTATTGAAACTTGAATGGTTTGTACATTTTTGGACAATTTTATGTATTCATATAGGTAAGCATTATTATACTCAATGAAACACCTTTGTGACAAATTTTCGAATAGTCGAGCGTTACTGTCCTCCGACAGTTCTTGTTTTTTTTGCCCAAAAATTCTTCCCATAAAGGCTCAAGGCACCATGGCTAGTTATTATGGCTCTCACATGGCTTCTGGTTTGAATCCTACCACAAAGGTTTTCATGTGAGAGACGTATCAAGTTAGCTTATAAAAGTTTGCAGTTCTACTCAGATGCCCTTTTGTGCCTGAAATGCATCAAAGTTGACATGTTGTCTTCCTGAAGGTGTCCAGTGCTGGCAATCCTGTACTCAATAGGTCTCCACAGGTTTTAACCAGTGTGCTGATGCCCATTATTTTGCTGGCAGTCTTGGAGTCCATTAGTGTGCTTGCATTCCTGTAATCCACCGATGTACTGGCAGTTCTCCTGAAGTCCAATGATGCGTTGGAAGTGAAGCTTGAAAAGGCACCATGTGACCTTTACTGTGTTAAAATTAAATACATTTACCTTGTTTTTTTCCAAGTCTGCTAGACATTGACTTTCTGGTGTATTTTCCAATAAGAAACCTTTATATTTGTTGGCTTTTAAAACTTATTTACTGTGTATTATGTACATGCAAACATTTTTAAAGCAAGTGAGTTTTGATGGTAATTGTTGAAAACATTTCATTAAGTAATGTTTTATTAGTGACAAACCTTTTGTGCTCAGTCGGCTAGTTTCCAGGGGGGATTGTAACATCAGCAAATTGGAAAATCTAATTTCACCACAATAATTATTGGAATTATGACTATAGCTATGGGAATGTCTGCAGTGAAATTTGGCTAGGAAATTATAATCTTTTATACGAGGGTCTGAATTTGCAATAAATTCTGCTGTAACAGGCTTTTTGCGTATTGGAGAAAGTAGCCTGGCAGGGATTATTCTGTATTTCTGAAACCAACAAGCATTTATAGCAGTGATTTTAGTAGAGGCTTCCGAAAGTTTCCGTTTACAACTAGGAGATAGACATAGGGTTAATGGTGTCTGGTTTTTGTGATTGCTTTTCCTTATAAGGGAAGCCTTTAGTTTAGTACCTACTTTGCTGGAATCTCATTCAATAATTTGTGATCAGGGAATCTGAGATTTTCTCATTGTAATTGCGGTTTGCTGTTATAATATTGTTTATATTTATCAGATATTAAAAGGGGAAGAAACAGTAAAACTGCTGTTCTCTTGCACTCTGTTGCTTTCAATTGTGATTGTCTGGTATCATATATTGGAAAAGTTTAGAATCTATTTTGTCTTTTGATAAGTGAAAATATGGATAACATAGATCCTTGTAAGTAGTCATGTATTGGATTTTATTGTTTAATTATTTTGTTGTTTTTATTATTTTTTTTCGAATGTGTTAAAGGTTGTTAAAGTTGTTGACTTCAAACCACTTGCCCGTCACGGCTGTTGGTTCCAATCCTGGTTTGGACTTTGTAAAATGAGATGATAATTACTACTTTATAGAATTTTTGTTATTAAATTATGTGCACTTCATTTAAATTTTGCTCTGCTAAAGAATGATAAAAATGATTTTAAAGCAACAAAGATTTGAGTACTATGTGTGATGTTTTCCAGGTGTTGTATATGACTATGTTCTTTTATTTGCAGCCAAAGTAACGAATGGCGATAGTGCCCCTGCCTCTGTACAAGCCCCACAACAAACACGCTCGGTAAGTCAATATACATATGTTGTTATTTTTTGTTTAGGATATCCAGTTATTATACCCCCACAAACAAAGTTTAGGAGGGTATAATGGAGTCAGCTTGTTGGTCTGTCTGTCGGTCAGTCCATCGGTCCACATCATGGTTTCCGAAAGATAACTAGAGTTTGCAATGAGGTTTTGTAATCAAACTTGGTATATAGCAACTGTATGTGGAAACCCAGTTGGTGTTGCATTTGGACACCCTGGGGTCAAAGTAACTGTTACCAAAAAGAGAAAGATAGTTTCGAATTCTGGACAATAACTAGAGTTAGAAATGAGATATTGTAATCAAACTTGGTGTATAGCAAGCTTATATGAAGATCCTGGTTGGGATTGCAATTACTTGAAATAATTCTTTTCACATAGTTGATACTTCATTTATTATAGATTGAGTTCAAATTTTTCTTCAGACCTCTAATTTTTCAAAAAATCGAAAGTTGTTGGTGGGGGTATTAATCACCATTAGTGAAAGCTCTAGTAAGTGGTTGCTCAGGATTTCTAAGGCTCCTGTCAATACTTCCAGGCCATGATATCAAATGATAAACTGATAATGTCCAGCCAGGGTCTTACTGGCCTCATACCACAGCAGCAAATTTGGCCATGTGTCTTTGACCTGTAACATACAACATTTGTTAAACATTTGATATATGCTTCTGTAGGGCTAAATGGCATTAACATTCACTTCCATGTGTTAAATTACCTGTAACATTCAATGAAGTTTATTTCTAATTGTAACATTTATTGCTCAATGTTAAATTACCTCTAATATTCACTACCTTAAACAGTCACTGCTCCAGGTAGACTTGATTACCTGCAAAATTCACATATTGTTGAAATACCTGTAACATTTACTGCTCTTGGGGTAATTGTTCTCTAACATTCCCTGCTATTTGAATACCTGTAATGTTCACATGTCTTTGTGAAAGTATCTGTTGCTTTTATATAAGATAGGCAAATATCATGGTTTATGTTGGAATAACAAATTTTTATTCCATTTATTTTGTGAAAACATAAGTAATTTTGATAATTTTAAGACTTATAAACTTACAAGTCAGAAATTCTGAAGAAAAAAAATCCCCATCCCCCTCCCATATAGTTATGCTTCCTGTTTATTTGACATTCAATTGACATTGCATTTTCTTAGTACAACACTAGGAGAGTAAGTAAACGAAACATTTATGTCACCTTGAAATTGTCATATTATATTTTACCTCAACCTTGATGTGCACTCAAAATGCTTATTTATCTCAACTTACCTTGGATAAAGGTTTTATGTTCATTTGCAAAGTGCAATTTTTTTAGTTTTTGTTTATCAGCCTACCTGCCTTTCATGCATCCTCTGTCAAGGACACCAAAGCACATCAGTTTCGATGTATAGCCCTGTTCTCTCATTTTAGCATTATGCCCACATATTGTCCTTATGTTTAGCACCATATAAGTCTTTGTTTTCAGTAGCATATTGGTCCATATAAGTCTTGTGTTAAATAGCATATTGGCCTTATGTTCAGCACCATTTAAGTCTTGTGTTAAATAGCATATTGGCCTTTATGATGTTCAGCACCATTTAAGTCTTGTTTTCAGTGGCATATTGGCCTTATGTTCAGCACCATTTAAATCTTGTTTTCAGTGGCATAATGGCCTTATTTTCAGCACCATTTAAAATTTGTTTTCAGTGACATATTGGCCTTATGTTTAGCACCATATAAGTCTTGTTTTCAGTAGCATATTGGTCCATATAAGTCTTGTGTTAAATAGCATATTGGCCTTATGTTCAGCACCATTTAAGTCTTGTTTTCAGTGGTATAATGGCCTTATGTTTAGCACCATATAAGTCTTGTTTTCAGTAGCATATTGGTCCATATAAGTCTTGTGTTAAATAGCATATTGGCCTTATGTTCAGCACCATTTAAGTCTTGTTTTCAGTGGTATAATGGCCTTATGTTCAGCACCATTTAAGTCTTGTTTTCAGTGGCATATTGGCCTTATGTTCAGCACCATTTAAATCTTGTTTTCAGTGGCATATTGGCCTTATGTTCAGCACCATTTCAGTCTTGTTTTCAGTGGCATAATGGCCTTATGTTCAGCACCATTTCAGTCTTGGTCTCAAGTTCAGTGCTTATTGAAGCTATGTAGAAGCATATTGGCCTCATATTATGATGCATTCTTGGCCTTCTTTTCAGTAGCATATTGGCCTTTTGTTCAGTAGCATTTTATAGCCTTCCTTTTTTTTTGTATTTGGTCCTTTTTAATTTTTTTGTGTGTGTATAAACAAGGTTTATTTTTTTTTTGATTTGTCAGCATTATTTGATTAAATGTGTAAAAAGTGTCATATTTCTTCAAACCAGGCTCACACACATCATTGAATATATCTTTTATCTCTGTTTGCCAATCCAGACACTTGTCATTGTATATATTACATTCAAATTTATAAAGTGTATAGCATGGTATTATAAATTTCAACATTAAACTGATATAGCCCAGTTAAACAGTGATAAAATATTAGTATTTAAGAAAAGAAAACATGGGTTCACACCGTTCATTCACATGCCGATATCAAGTTGAAAACGAGTTTATGTGAAGGGATAGTCATTTTCTTGTCTGCCTATTTTGTAACCTAGCACTATGTTAATAATTAGGATTTTTACTTGTCCTTCCATCAAAGTAACCTGTTAAAAGATACCTTTCACTCAGGATAATGTGTAAGTTGATAAGGTCAGTTTAATGTAACCCTACTATCGTGAACTGTTCAAGGAAGTTTGAAATTTGTTGGTCAGAGGTAGCTGCTGTTAACGATCTGTTTAATGAATGAGAGAGAGAATTTTTATATAAACTATTAGGAAGTTTGAAATGTTGTTGTTTGAATAAAGCCGCTCTTCATGATTTTTTATTTTCGATTGGAAAGAAAACACTTAAAAATGGCCATGACCAATACTGACATTGAAGTGCATTGATGCTTATATTATTTTGAATTTTAAGTAAAAAATGGAATAACTGAAGTCCTTGTTTCAATTATATGAATGTGTTTCCTTTCATGGATATTCATTTATTTTTAGACAACATAGTATTTAAATCCCTGATCACAAGAATGAAGTGTTACTGAAAAATCTTCTTTGTTTTCTTTTTTCTTTTCTTTATTTACTTAGATATGTGTTCTGTATCACAATTATGTCTACACTGTTTTCTATGTAACATTTTATTCTATTATATACTCATATACTTTCCCTAGAATATAATCACAAAAACAATATGCAAACACAAAAGGCAACTATAACAACCATGTAATGAGCCTTATTAAAAACAATGCACCATTTATCATATTAGCATAATTACAATAGAATACCCAGTGTACCAAGCATTGCCAAGATGTATATTACATAATATACTAACACACATACACCAGTGGTGAAGGAGATGAAAAAATGCTCTAAATTTATATTGACTATCAATTTCATGCACATAAAATTGAATAATTTGCATAAATTATAGAACATTTGCATAAATTATAGATAATTTGCATAAATTATTTAGATAATTTGCATAAATTATAGAAAAAGTTGCAAAAATTGTAGATAATCTGCTGAAGATGCTAAAAATCATCATATATAGTGGCATTAGTTTTGCGAATGAACAGTATTAGCAATTTAGCAGCTTACGGAAGTTAAAAAAAGAGCTTGCTTTTTGACGGCTTTGATTTTCAGTGGTGATGCAATTTTTTTGCAGGGTCTTTATTAAACATACTAATTTTTATTGTAATAATATATATCTTATATCCTGAAAAAGAACATACATGGAAACAGAAAGAATAAAAGATCGTTTGAAAATTAATCTTGAAGATGTTGGCAATGTTTGACTGCTGAAAATAATAGTTTTATGCCCTTTAGTGAAGTTAAGTGTTCTTATATTGAGAACCAAAAAATAAACTTGAAATGAAGAATGAAATGTCAATTTTGTATAATAATTAGTTAATTTTTTTTTCGTAGAAACAGAAAAATATTAATTGAAAATATCACTGAAAGATAAAAGTTTATTTCCTTGAGATTTTACACAATTAAGCTCCCCTTTCAATCCCAGATTAATACACGAATGATAATGTTCTTCTGTTAAAGCTAGACTTAGTAAGTTAATAGTATTAAGAAGTGCACCTGTTCCCACTGTTTAATTAAGATGCCCTTCCATCATCACAAGTTGATTTCTTCTTATTTTACAACTTTCTTAACTCAGTGATAAGAGATTGATATTTCCGATTTCATGATACTTTTTTGCAGTTTTGACTTTAGGTTTGCCCCTTTATATTGTATAAATTAGAGTTTTTCATCTTTATTAACCTTTACTTCTTTTTTTTTTTTCATTTTTCTTTGAAACGTTTCCATGTATGTAATTGTGTATGCGTGTATGTATTTTAGGAACCTGCAGTACAGAAGAGTGAACCAGCACAGGCCAACGGTGGCGACTTCTTGAACCTGTCAGCGAAGGAAATGCGGGAGCGGATCGCGCAGAAAAAGAAGAACGACCCAAAACAAAAATCCAACATGGACTTCAGATCTAAATTTGAGATTTTCCAAAAAATGTGATCAGCTAAGATAGAAATGAAGATTAGTTACTAAAAATATATATATAAAAATGTGTATATCAATATAATAGAGGTGTGTTTCCATTAGTTATGAGACTTCTTGGTCACTGATATATTTTCCTTCTTCTTGTGAAACAGTTATTGATAAAAAAATTGATACCTATTGAATTGAAGAGTTACACTTAAATTAATGTATGGCTCTAAAAAGATGTGGTAAAAATATTTGTGTTTGGAGGAAAGGGGATGATATATGTTGGTGTATTTACTCACTTATGTATCGTATTATGACGCAGGTTGTGCTTATGCAATATGAAGCGGTTTAAATGATGTTTTTTAACATATGTAAGTCTAAAATTAATTCTAATACTATGTATTTACAAGGTTTAGACCTCACTTATGTTTTGCTTATGTACAATAAATAAAGTTTTTTCGAATTTGTCATACAATTCTGAAGTTACTAAGGAGATTGATTTTTTTTAAAGTAATACAAGTTTGAAGAGTGAGTGCATTGGAAAATTCACCAGATGTAAAGTAGAGATATAGAATTTGTTTAGGCTTTAAATTATCACATGATTCTTCAATTATATATACACATAGGCAAAACATTTAAAATAATTTAGTAAAATCAAATTTGTGACTATATCGAGCTGTAAATATTTTGTATAAATATATAGCACAATCGTTTTTTCTTCTCTTCATAGAAAAGCAATCACCCAAGTCATGTAAATCATGCATTATTAAGTGTGTTAGTTGTGTGTGATTGTATGTTTCATTATTTTTCAATCAATTCCCATAATCCTTTGCTTTATAATTATGCTTACAATTTACCTGTGCTCATGTTTAATTATGTTCGTTTTTGAAAAATTGCAAAGTTACTTTGTTTAGTTACTGCTCACCAATCTGGCTTTAAAAATTAGCCATACATTAAAATTTTGCATGTTTTTCAGATTTGCCAGAAAATCTAATGTCGGGATATTGCCATATATTTAATTTCATTTTCTGCCTTTAATTTTTTCACTTCTAAATGGTTTTCAATTGTAAACAGAAAGTAAAGAAAAAAATGTTGAATCAGTCAAACAATGAAATATTATTTCAAAGTTCCTGGTCTTAAATCAGATTGTAAAATCTAAAAATAGAAATCATGGTCACATGATGAAGTGATAAAAATGTTTTATTTAATTTTGAATGTAAATGTCATAATGAAAATTTTAAGACAAAGTGTTTGTTGACGTTTTCGTAGAAGAATGTGTTGTAATAAAATGTAACTTTCCTTAGTTATACGTTGATTGAATGTTGAATATCTTGCCTCGAGCAAACAATGCCAAAAATAGATCTTTCATAATAATATGTATGTGATGAAAGGCCGTAAATGTTGAATATCTTGCCTCGAGCAAACAATGCCAAAAATAGATCTTTCATAATAATATGTATGTGATGAAAGGCCGTTTTAATATTCTGACTTTGTATGTTGAAGCTTTAATGTGAATTATACCTACAGTTTTACTGAATAATCTTAATGACAATTACTGCAATAAAGTCCATGTTTTCAGTCATTCAACATATTTTGGAAAACAATGACAAGTTTGTGATAGTCACAGTGGCTCATAAAATGGTCTGCGAGTTCTTAGTCCTACATCCTAGGAAAGGGTGAAGTCGCTTATATGATTTTGATGTTTGGATAGTTAATAAAGAAAATATATATAATGCAAAACATCACCAGATTTCTGATAAAACTTGCTGTTCCAATGCACCAGACTTAGGCAAATGATTTTATATAAACGATAAAGTTGATTAATGATAATAGATGCTTGCAAACTTGCAGTATTTTATGGCTGAAGAGAAAGATGTTAAAACTTACAAAACATTATGCTGCTATATACATAAATAAGTTGTTTCAAAAAAAGATTTTGCTCATAAGATGAAATTACATCTGTAAATAATAGATTTTTGCTTTTTTTTTCCTGACGTAGTAAATATTCATGGTTGAGGACAGAAGTGACAGTTATTAAGTGACATTGTTGTTTGTGAAGACGTAATATAACAGTATTAGCATACCTATTACTCATTTGTTGTTACGAATTACTGTAAAATATGATCATGCCAACATTTTAATATTGCTGGGAAAAAAAAGGCCTAAAAAAAGATCACTTGAATGTTCATACCTACTGTTTTAGTGTGCTATATGTCTAAGGTGTGAAAGAACTCATAATTCTATTTTTTCAGATTGATTGAGTTGTCAACCTGTGATTTGCAATTTTGTTCAAGTTTAGGAACTACTTTCTCAATGGACTTTTTTAAATTTTTGCACGCATTACTACACTGTGCGTTAAATAGTTTCACCGATTTGATGTAATAATAACAAGAGTTGTGAACTGTACACAATCTCTCCAGATCTCTCCGTCTCTCGTAAAAAGGTTGTGAAAATTGTTTTATTATGAATCATGATTCAAATTATTACTACATTTCAAAAGACGTCCAGTGATGCATACCTTATCTTTTGTATAATGATTGAGTAAAGGGTATTTTATTAATTTCCCACAAAACTGTCATTACTTGACTAGTATCAATTGAAATTGAAGTAAAACTGTAATGTTATCGATTAAGATGTATGGTACGTAAGATTTATACAGTCTTGTCTGGCCAACCAGATTATGAAAAAAATGCAAAAGTCATGTGACCATTCATCGTTATCTACATGGTCTAAATTTACTGAGTACCACCTAAAAAAAGGTTAAAGGCCGATGCAAAACACATATGACCCAAGAAATAGAATAACTTACAGTTGCATAGATTTTTCCACCACTTGCTTGCCCAAAGAAGATGAATTAATGTTTATTGTTACTTGTTGAAAAGGGAAAAAAACTAAGACTAAATAGTTCCCAAAATTTATTTGTTGATCTGTTTAAGTTTTTATTATTATTATTATTAGTGAGTTTTTGATAATATTAGATAATTTTTCTAAGATTTTCCATGCTCATTTGAAAGTGCTCTTTGAACTGTGAATTTCAATCACTGTGTTGGCATTGTTGAATATGTTGTTAATTATTTCTCAGAAGAATTTCATTGACAAATTGTTTTATATTGTATATATATCACATAAATTTAAGTTACCTTTTGGTTTTGAAAATTGCACTTTTTGATTTCACATTCAATGAACAGATTAGCAGGTTTTCACAATAAAAATGAAAACTGCCATTTAGTAGTTTTCACTGGAAATGAAACATTTGTTTATATTTCACGATTAATTTAGAAATTAATTTTACATGATTTTTGTCATTGACTTAAGAGGTATTTGTAATATTTTTTTTCAACATATTATCAGTTATCTTTACAGAGTTTTCTTTTTCTTTGCACTCACTTTTGCATGTTTTATGTATATGTTTTTGTCACTATGTTTTAAGCAGAGTACACACTGGTAGATTTTTGTCTACTTTGAGTTTGCTAACGAGTCTTATATATATATTATATATATATTCCTACACATTTTCTACTTACACATAGACTTTATTTATATTTTTCTGAATTTTTAAGTGTCATTGGTAAGGATTGTTTTGTAGGTGATTTGTTTATGGTTTTTGGTGCACAGAGAGAGAGAGAGTTTATATATATTTACATACAGTTGTATCTTGTTTTGTTTGCTGAAGATGGTTCAAATCGACAAGGTCATATCTTAATCTTGATCATATAGAGCAATTTATGGCAATGTTTTCGATGGAACCGTCTTAGGATCTAATCACTGTCTCAAATTGTAGCTCAAAATTATTTACAAGTATTACAGAATAAAAAGGGGCAAAATAATAAGAAATATATAAAGTTAAATTCTCTAGTTTATATATATGTAGTAAATTAAACAACTTCTTTATCACAATATTATACCAATATAAACCTATTTAGATGTTAACATTAAAGTGAAAATATTTCCTAAGTATTTACCTTTGAATTATTATGCAGTAGCAATAGTGATTATTATTATTATTATATTTTATTTTCTTGTGTGTGGAAAAATTGAATTATCAAAAAATCTTTTTTATTCCCCTTTCTGTCCTTAGTTTTGAAGCGTTTTCACTGAATGGGACTATTAAAATTGTGATTTTGTGATTCAATGCTGAAAATAAACCATCCACACTAGCTTGTATAAATATCAAAACAATACAACAGCTCATAGAGCCATTTTGTTTTTACTTTGTAATTGTGTTCAGGAGAGATAACTCTTGAAGTTGTTCAGCTTGAATGTTCAAAGGGAGATAATTTGTGTCATGGTTGCTGCATGACCAATTTGTCTCCCTTGAATTCAGTTGCAACTTTTTACAGTTATTTACCCTTGTATTAAAATTTGTCATGGTTGGTTCTTTTAATTTCATCCACCCTTCACATTAACAAGATCGCTATCATTTATATATGTTTTTTTTTCTTTTTTGTCCATTTCAAACACTAATGAGTTAAAAACCGATATTTATAACCAAAGACTGTACCAATTAACAAGAAAACAAGTATTTTGTGATTTAAGATAAATAATATTTTTGTTTTCTTCTGTAATTTGCTACTAATTAAACATGGAATATGTTCGTTATAGTATATGTATTCAGAGAAAAATATATGTATACAAATAAACAAATGCCATTAGCAATGCACAAAGTTATGTATATAAGTTGAGAGAAGTGAAAGTAGAGTTAAATATAGAATGTTAAATGAAAGTAGAAAATATTAAATTGTAGATTTCAGATTTCATCTTGTATACTAATCATCAGTAAGAAAAATTTGATTCAATTTTTTAGGTAGGAAAAACAATCTTTTTTTTTTATAGAAAATTGTTCAGATCTCTTTTTTTGAGATCTCTCTTTTTTGTGATCTTATTATATATCTTCATCATGGCCAATATTTTACATACAAATTTCCAGTTTAACAGTTCACTTTAATAATATTGAAAAATATTTTATGGTATTTTTGATTGATAAAAATTTATTATGAAAAAATTAATGAAATGAAGGTTTTAGTTTTGAGTTTATAATAAATTTACAATAAAAGTTGTTTTCATGAAATTAAAAAGAATAAAAAAGCCAAAGAATTCAAAAGATTTTTGGAAGTGTTTTTTTTAAAGGAATTATGTTTTTTTAAAGGAACTTTTTGTATGTGTGTTAATTTGGATATAGAGAAACAAGGCTGACAACATTGCTACGCTAAAATTGTTTTTTTCCCGCCACTTTGTAATGTTTCAGGACTGTTGTGCATTCCGCTATAATGGACCAAGTCTGGCCTATTGTTTCATGATTTTAAAGTATTTTGTATGGAGATATTGGCCAGTTTGTATGGTTGTGATGGACAGCATATTCACTATTTACATAATTATTCCAGGAACAAACATATATTTTGTTACAATAAAGAAATATTAATACCCAAACAATGATTCTTGTTGTTATCACTTTACCATGGTAGGGAGATCAGAGACTTAGATTGAAACTTGAAACATTGACATTAAATGAAAGACTGTATTCATTAAAAACAGCTTTGGAAAAGTCTGTTTTATAGTTGAAAGTGTAAATATACACTGTTTAGAGTTACCAGCTTTTATGGACCATTAAGTCAACTTAAGTCATATTTTATTCTCTAAAATAAGGTGTTCATTGAACACAGGTTTAACTGTATAGTGACATGAAGAATTGAATTCACAATGCAATAATTTATTGGTTAATTCAATGAGCTATTGTCTGTGAATGTCTAGCTGACAAAAATCATACTCACTCGTGAGGAATTTAATGAATGAACAAATACATGTATAAAATTATAATAAAATGTATAAAGGTTTTTGTTGAAGTTATTCAAATCAGTTTATTGCAAATAGGACGTCTGAGAACCAGAGTTGACAATTACTCAAGACACCTATACCATCAATATAGCTATTTTCCTATAGTAAAATAAAGATGAAACCACATGTATTTCAACTGGACGTGCAATAGCCTTGCACTAAAAGTAATTTAGATAGAAGTCGTGCCCCTCAGAAGTCATGGCTCAGCCCTTTATTTGATTACACAGACCTCTATTTGGTAACTCGGCCCTCTATTTGGTAACTTGGCCCTGTGTGGGCAATCAAAAATTTGTGTACCATGATTTTGGTAATATGTTTCTGTATTTACCATTTTTTTTGGTTAGACAGATTTGTACCTTCAAAGATATAGGTTTATAATGTACACCTCGTCTTATAACTGCTACATTTGTAAGTTCACAATCCTTTAATCCTTAACCTGTTGACCTAAATGAACTTCTCCACCTTCCATTTCTGAAGCTGTCCATTATCAATTTTTGGGATTAGCCATTAGCTCTATACTGGTAGCAAAGGTTTATCACATCACATGGTATGAAATATAAGA